TGCTTAAGTAAACAATAAGTCAACAGCCATGGGTAATTTTTAGAATTTTAGTGTTTCTTAAAATGGCTGTAACTTGAAAAATTGAAGTCGGAATCAGCTCAGGCTTTTTATACAGCATAAGGGTATCGGTATGTATCAGAAAATGTAATAAAAATTTGGAGTAATTTTGGAGCCATTTTTTGGGAAAAACCATGGACTATGGTTTTTGTACTCAACTTTAACTATAGCTTTCTACATCATTGTACTAGGTAAGGGAGGAGGGTGGGCTCTAATCAACTAGCATCAAATGACTATACTGATCCTATAATAATAATAATAATAATAATAATAATGTATTCATTCACATTCTTCCTTTTGTGTGTGTGAGGCCTGTTTTGTTGTGAATATATTTCAGTAAATACTAAACAAACAATGTGAGAATAAACTAAGTAATATCAGTAAAGTATACAATAAAAGTATATAAAATGTTGGGGGAGTCTATAAATTAAATAACTAAGCAGCAAAGAAGAGCCTATAGCACGCTATTACTTGACATAGATCTCATACTGGCCCACAGTTGTGTCCTCATTACCTGTTCCTTCATTACCACAAGCCCTCAACTCAATATAGTCAGTAGTGGTAGTGCTACCATAGTCTCTGTGAAACCATGGGATACCAGGAACATTACAACAAGCTGTTTCATATGGGCCGCAGTTCTGACCATCCCACAGTGGATCATTAACGAAAAACTGATTGGCATTATCTGTAGGATTACCGGACTCACAGAAGTAATTGTTGCTAATAAATACTTGAGGCTGCTGGTTGCAATTGCACGGATTGATGTTGTAAGAATGGCTCCATCCATTTATAAATGTCCAGACATGTTGACAAGGAGACCCACGAGTGAGACTGATACCATCAACATAATAAGAATTGATATTACTCGACACAGAAGCATCAGGTGAGTGATATTGATATCCTGTTACTCTACCACATATCTGAGAATAACTGATACCATTAGATGGGAACTGAACTGATGCACAGCTAGCACCTCCTGAGGCTGATCTACCACAAGCTCTAACTCCTCCTGACTGGTACAGTCTAAACCCAGAAGGACAGTTCTGTGTAGCATCAGACATATCCAGATATGCTAGTCTTGTCCATCCTCCTCCTGAACCACACAGCTCATCCATGTTACACTTACAGTAAGCAGTATAAGTAGATCCTCCAATTGTAGTATTTGCCAGTAGATACACACCTGATGGACTGAGTGGTTGTCTCTCCTTAATCTCTTTACAAGAGGTAGGTAAAGCAGTTGAGTCATTGTGTAGTACTAATAGTTCTTGTGCTATTAGTAGTATATCATCAACCACTCCAGCAGTAGAGGTACTGGTGTCTTGTAGATTAGAGAGAGTATTGACAATGTTAATGAGCTTTTGTGCAGAATCTCTTGTAGTTTGTAAGATTTGTTTGTCGAGTTCAGTGAAGTTGGTATTGTTCTGAAATAGTTGAAGGGTATTTTGTGATACACCATTAGCCCATTCATTGAAGTCAGGAAGGCTCCCTGTTACATTGCTGTTAACTTTAGAGACTATATCATTGGCTCATTGAGCAGTAGTTCCAGCAGTATCTCTTGTATACATAATATGAGTCAGTAACAAGCAAAGGATACCAATCTGTAGTATTACTATCAGTGACAGTAATACTGTGTGGATGATTGGTTTATTCCATGTTGCTAGTTTCTTGTTGCTACTTTTCTTTATATCCTTATGTTGTTCAGCTCTCCTGCCCTCCCAACCAGTTCTCCTGGTTGTTGGTCTCTCTTCAACTGGTGGTACCTGACACAGCTCATATACATTACTCTCTTTGATGGTGTCTTGTCCTAAGGACTCGTAAGTGAATTTCTCTTCAACTTCAAGCTCCATTGTGATATTATTAAAGTAACAACACTTCTCAAAATATGTAACTGAATGAAACTAAGTCTAGTATGCAGACACTTTTATGGATGGGAAAAATCGTGATAATAATAGATCAATAATCAGTGGGCCCTTAGCCC